TGTGTGTGTGTGTGTGTGTGTGTGTGTGTGTGTGTGTGTGTGTAATAAATTCTAATATTCAAATGTTGCAGTTTTCAGAAAGTGTCATTAAGTCCTAATTTAGGGTATTAACTGTTCTATACTTTGTGGCTTATAATTTAGGCCATCTCAGGTATTTTATAATTTGTAACTAAATTTACTGATAAATATATCATCTCGTTAAATTAGATAACATAATAGTTTCTGATCAGTGAGCCAATCAATACCAAATGCCACTCATTTTGCTTTGAACCACAGTTTCCTCGGAGCTAGTCAGAAAAATGTCAAATAACCTTCTAGAGACTGTACACAATATGGAACGCTTCACAGATTAATGTGTCATCCTTGCAGAGGCACCAGGCTAATCCCTGTACCATTCTAACTTTAGTATATGTGCTGCTGACACAATGTGAGCAGAAAACCCTGCGTCTATGCATGGATACTGGAGAATAGTGGATAGAGCCGAGCTTTCTTAAATCCAACTAATCTACCTTAAATTCTACTCTAAATTCAGAGAACTCTCTTGAATGTCTTCCTTGTGAGACAGAATTTGAAAATATTTTGAAAACTTGAGGTAGAGATGCAAGTAGCTTGAGAGATTTTCATTATCATAGAAAAAGATCACTGGAGGGGCCAACAGTATGTTGACACCCACTACTCTAGGGAACCTCAATGTAGGACCTTCCAGAATCTAAGAAAAGGTACTACACAGGATATGAAGGGCCTTGGGGTACCGATCTGGTAGCAAAAATGAAAAGAAACTCTGCTCTCTTCCTGCAACATTATTTGAACCTCTCTGATGGTTTAGAAGAAACATAACTAATATCTGCAAGGAGAAAAGATGAACAAGGAGGGCCTCAGAGGATAACTCACCATGAATGTCTAGGCTAAGATATGGGCTCCACTTCAGGTTTGGGGTTTGGGGAGGAAGGGTCCCTCTCCTCAACATGTATGTCACTAAAGCTAGGAAGCCCAGCTGCCAAAAAAGGAAGCTGGTGCTTTGGGAACAATGGCTGAAAACCTCAGCATATGTATGGTAACTAAAACAAAGTGTAACTCTGAAGTCTAAGTATGGACTGCCACAATGACTGAGGGATCTGCGTCAGTGAGGGCATCGTGGTGGCGAAGGTCAATCGTTACAGAACTGCAGGACTAGTTACGACAGCAACACTGCAGCAACAGAATCAACAGGAGCAACACAACGATTGGAATGTCCTCTTTTCCCTCTCTGTCGGACTTGCGAAAGTGGATTGTTTTCCTTGGATTTAGAGAACTGCTCAGGTTCTTAGAAACTTAAAGGAGCGGGGTGGCGTAGGGGATAGCTCC